GTGCCAAGTGTATAATAATCTTTTTTCTTATAAATCCAATAAGTCTTGTAAAGTTCTGACATTTTTTACTTTTATAATAAATGTTATTTTGATTTTTTAATTTTAAGTTTGATATCAAATTCATATTTAGCGACTCAAAAAACAATTTCAATGTAAATATATTTAATGTGATATTATAAGAGAAAAGTATCATTCGACAGGAATTCAATACTTTCGTCACTCATTTTCTATCCGCCATTTTGAATTTCAGCATTTTTTCATCAATGCCGCAGTACTACGTTGTAGAGCAATGTTTCATGAGTAAATTAAAAAAAGAAATTTTGAAATCAGTTGAAAATTGCATTGTCGGTAGATTTTTGTCCAAAAAATGAGTCTTTTTGCCCACTGTGCGGCGTTTCGGAATGTAACGAATGAAAAGTGCATAACGGAAGGATGCACGCGCGCACACATGCGTACGTAGAGATACGCATGTGCGTGTCAGAATAGAGGCGAATATTTGCACGAAAGACTGACGCGAAAGATGAAGGGGGTGGATTTTCGGATGGTCGGCCGGCTGGATCAAGGCGCGGGAAAAATCGTTTTATTTCTCGGCCGATCGTCAATGTGGCGCGATTATGTCAACGAACGAGTGCGCCGGTGCGTTAATATCACGTTGTTTTCATTTAATCTTCGCGCGGCGCTTTGTGGAAATTTTCTATGAAAAACTGCGCCCCTCGAATTCAACCGACCGGCCGGCCGCGGTAAAGTAACGCGTGCGGACGAGAAAAGAAAGTGCATGCAAATTTATGTAAATGGCGTTGTGGTGGCGCACGCAGCGTGTTTGTTATACATAATACACGCACCTGTACATAAATTATGAGAATGGTTGTCGTATGCGTCACGAATACTTAACATTCGTTACTTTGTGATATTAGGCACGGGGTCCACACGCCGAGGGGAGAGAGGAGGAAATATTGTAAAAATCGTGGGACGTGGAGTTTCGAAGTATCCGAGCGATGTGGAGAAGAAAATTACGGATACGCGGAATTTTGGGTAAGTAGATGATTATTAGAGATAATCATTGAGACAGACAGGCGGAAATATTGACATGGATAATTAGAAATTTCTGATATATTAAACGGTATAAAAAGAAGAAATCGAGAAATTTGTAAGCACCCAACTTTATCGAAATCTTTGAATGGATAGAAAAAAATGGAGGATATTTTTATAGATAATGTAGGATATAATTTGGAATATAATTTGATGGTTGACGGCTTATATCAAAGGATGTCGAGAGCAAATGTTATTAGCAGAAAATTGAACTAGATATGTTTTGGCAGCAATATTAATAGCAGTGGCGTCACTTGCTCAAAGTCGGTTTACATCGGAATAACATGGAAACATGTGATTCGCAGAAAGCTAATAATCGAAATAGAAATATTCTTAGTGTGAAATCACGTTTTCTCTCACGAGAGAAAACAACTTACCGAAAACTTTCTAGCAAAGTATGCCTTTTCATTCCCATGTTCGTCGCTAACGTTTGTGCATTGCACATTGTTAAAGGCAAATTTTGCTAGAAACACTTAGTAAATTGTTCTCTGGGGAACGTGGGTTTGCTACGAACATTGCTGTTACAAGCTTTTTGTTCCTCAACATTGTTACCGCTACTTTTCGGTCTTAACGTTTCATGCTAAACTCGCTTTATACTCTGAAGAGAATACTGTGATACACGTCCTAATTCCGGCACGGATAATTTATTCGCGCGCTTTTAGCGGGAAATCGCTCAAGCGGATGCAACTTTTATTCGATAACTAACTGGTCGCCGTATATATTGACTTTCGGTACACCCGACTGAAGTTTCATGTATAACTATATACGCTGCTACATCATAAAAGTATCGAGATCATCCCTCGCGTGTCGAAATGCCCCTAAACCACCCTACGTTCCACCACGTTACCCTCTTATATGGTGCGTTTATAAAAACGATGTGTTATTCTCTTTCGATCCCCGTTCGCTTAGTTTGCTGTCGAAAGGTCGAAGCAAAACAGATGGAAAGAGAGATGGAGAGTGAGAAGTTCGCTCACTTGGCACAAAGCTGAAGAGAAAGCGGGAGAAAGAGAGAGAGAGAGGGGGGGGGGAGAAAGCGGGGTTGAAGGCGGGGGAAAATTTTCGACTTTTCTCCGCGTGATAAGCTTGTTATCAGCATTCCGCGCAACGCGCTCGTTCGTTCGTTCAGCGTGCGAGCGCTAACGACACATTGATTCTATAAGGGACATTAAGTACCGGAACTAGGTCGAAAACAAATGTAGCAGGCCGACCCGGCAATGAGCTCGTCCGTATAACGCTGTTACGAACGTTAATGGGATCTAGCACTGTAGTTAGAGCCAGCGGCGCCCTGCCTTCTCTTGGCTGTCTCAACGGCGCGCGTCTCGGCAAATTGAATGAAATTGCAATTTGGAAATTAATCATCAGATGTCCACTTGAGCGACGTGACGTCGTCGTCGTCGTCGTTGTCGTTGCCCTCGTCTAGTCGCGCGATTGCGTTTACGTTCTCCCGAAATAACCTCGAAAAGCTGGCCCAACGGCTTAACGGCCGAACGGTGAACTCTATTTTGTCTGAAATTTCATCGACTTCGAGAAGGGGAGCGTCGTATTTTCCTCGAGTGAATTTTCATTGATCAATGCTTTCCTTTGATCCTCGACTCGTAGGAGAGCAAATGTTGCTGGCAGAAGTTCCAGTCAAATATGTGCCGTGCAGCGCTGTTAATAACAATTTCGTGGTATAAGTAGTTCTCCTAACTTCGTCGTTGACACTCGTGCGTGCCACGCACGAGATATCTTATGTCGAAAGCATAGCTCGTTAAAAGCATTCCGCGCATCCTTCTTCATCGCAGTCTTGCTGGGAACGGTATTGTCCTTAGCGTTTCGCTATTTACATTGTTTTTGCTACTCGTCCGGTGCAAATGTCGACTCTTATCGGTCTGGATTAATCGTCCATCTGGACGAGCCTTTGACAGTGTGGCAGCGCATTTTCGAATGAGAAGCTCGCTCGCTCGAATTGTCGCTTTCGTTTTTACCCTTCTCGTCGGTGACGCACACCGGGCGGGATCGCGACGTGTCGGGATATATTACGCGCAGCGTCCCATGCTTCGGTTATGACGGTATTTTCGATGGTAATTCGACGGCATTCGCGAACGAGCTCGAGCGTGAGCGCGAGCGGGCGCAAAAATTTCTCTGACGGGGCCGGTCAGACGGACGGACGTGGCTAATGACTGAATGAATTTGCCTATCCGCGTAAGAGCGCCCTCGAGCGCATTATCCGCAATTGTCGTCATCGGCGCCAATCGTCGGTCGGGATTGGTTCAGCGTTGTTCGCCTCATGAAGTGCGCGTATTACGAAGTGCATTTGTTTAATCGGCGCAATTAATCGCGCGGGCCCGGCTCGATTTTGTTTGTCTCGCCGCCGCGTCGAGAGGCGAATACCGCGACCGCGATCGGACCGAAATTGCGGCAGTAATTGCTGGATGAAAGAGTCGCCAGCCTCAGTCCGTTGTTTTTCGTCCCTCGAAATCTCCACACGGGGGATATAACGTCTCCGGTGTTTGCACGACTATCGCACGGTGGAGGATGATTGTAATCAAGACTCTCGACTCTGCAGCAGGTCGCGCTATGGAGTTATTGATGATGACTCGGGTGAAATTATTGATCCCACTTTCGGCCTCAATACTTCATTTAACGTTGAATTAATACTCGGAAGTATTATATCAGCCGTTTCTGATTGCGTAATATTTAACCCACAGCTCTGCCGAGAGGTCTTTTTTTAAGAAACTGAGAGTCAATAGTTATTATATACTGAGAAAAAATTGTATTAAAATTAAACAAATATTTGTTCGAATACGACTGTGAATACATTTATTCAAATTAAGCGACTAGTTTCTAAAATGAAATACAGAGGTTCTGAATGTAAACTTTTTTCTTGAATTTTAGAAAATAATTGCTTAATTTAAATAAATGTATTCACACAAATATTCAAATTCGTATTCAAACAGATATTTGTTTAAATTTAATACAATTTTTTTTCAATATGTCATTGGCACTATAGTAACACTGGCTATAAAAATATTATTGCTATACAATGCGATTGTAAAATGTTGCTGCACATTGTAGGTAACAGAAAAGATATATGCTTAGTGTCGGAGATGATTAAAATTTTAGTGAAGTTTTCCACTTTTGTTCTCTCAGTCCGCTGCTGTTCAACCATGTAAATTTCATGTTATAGCACGTTTTACCACGCGAACATCTCATTTTAACGTACCAACTATACGACATAGTTGCGTGAATATGCATTAGTAGTATGACGACCGTAATGCATCAGCGTAGAATTTACTATAACTTTCATGATTAACTCTCCGCGCTGCAACTTGTATTTAAAAAAACGTGGTAAATTACAAAGAGAAATTATAAAGAAAAATGTAGAAGTCGTGTAAAAATTAATTACAGTTAAAACTATAATATTCGTATATTTTTTCATTAGTATCGAAATTTATAGAAATGAATAATCACAAACAAACAGCCACTCTTTCTTATCGGCCTCATTTTCAGCCAACCTATTGCAATCGAATCATCGCGAAGAGAGTTAAAGCAACAATGGAAATATGTCGGCTGACGCCGGCAACGTCTGCATTCGCAGTGAGCTCATGTTTACTCCAACCACGTTGTTTTCCCTCTTACTGCCAGCGTAACGATCTCGCGATCGCGAAAGTCGTTAGCGAGAGATCCGCCGTTAGCTCATAGAAAATAACAAATATGAATTTTCCAATCTTCGCGTATTAGTTCTCTCCTTCTAGCCGGCTACAAAGCCTCGAACGGGAAATATCTATTCCGCAATTTCGTGCCGTATAATTCGGCGATTCCGAGGGATAAGCGGATGCACAAAACAGTCCGTGGAACGGCGGCGGGACGCGGGGGATGTTTCGGGGAGAGACGTGAGATCCTTCCTACACGCACACCGTGCTACTTACTCATGTCCCGACATCCTTTGAGCTCGATGCGAAGGCACACCGTGCGCCGGTGCTCCGAGTGCGGCAGGATCCGGATTTGGCTGGCGAAGATAGGCGGGATCAATTTGTGCGACACGACGGTGGAGGTGTCGCTGTTGCCGGCCAAAACCTGCGGAAAACGGCGACGTGCCTAGGTGAAACATATGTAGGAATCACGGACGACGAACGGAAAAAGGAAAAAAAACGTCCGAGAGAGAGAGAGAGAGAGAGAGAGAGAGAGAGAGAGAGAGAAAATAAAATAAAATTGGCGACTTCTCGCGCGTCAACCGATGTAAAAATTCGAATTCGATTAAAAAGCGTCGTCTCACTTCGCGGGATAATGAAGCCACGTTTCGCTTTTCCTTTTTCCTTTCCCCCCTTCTCGCTCTCTCTCTCTCTCTCTCTCTCTCTCTCTCTCTCTCTCTCTCTCTCTCTCTTCCCCCCCTCTCTCTCGCTCTCGCCCTCTCGTTGTCTCTCTTTTTTTTGATATTCTGTGTTGACGAGCGAGTTTTTTCAGGCAGCCGCGGATTCGACGGCGGTAACTTTTATCGCGAGAGAACCACGCGTCGCTAATACGATTAAGCGGATAATGGACACTCTGTCCGGAAATTTTCCCGGTACTTATAGACGTCTCTCAATTTTTGGACTTCGTTAATGTAATACCCGGGCCGGCGAGTGTATGCGTACGCGGGCTATTCATTTTTCCAGACGGGAATATCGGGGGACATCCGTCCGATATATGGATGACAGCGGGCCCCGCCGGTATTTTGCCGATAATACATTTAGCATGTCGCCGTCGTGCATTGGATATGAACTTTTCAACGGTACTTCCGTAGAACGTAGATCTCCGCGTCGGATTGACGTCGTAATGAGGCGTTGCGATTTCTACTGCTCGGTTACTCGGAAAATTAAACGCGAGGCGTAACGTAGCTCGCTTCAACTCTCGACTCTCTCTCTCTCTCTCTCTCTCTCTCCCCCCTATCTCATCTCGCATGGCGACAGTCTCGTGTTCGTGATACCAGAGACGCGAAATTTTGATTCTGCTTCAACTCCGTGGATTTTGCCCAACTTGGGGCACTAAGACGGTTATTTACCGCCATATTTCTCTTTATCTTGTGAGTTTCGGAGAAAGACTTATTCCGAGATTATTCAATATTCTATCATCTCCATATTTTATATGTACCTAATTTTTATTCTTACTTTAAATAAATAATATCTTTATCATTTATGATGTAACTTACATATATCTGCAGGTAAAGTGAGATAAGCAAATATTAAATTATTAATATGGGTAATTAATCAGATTAATAAATAAATGAAACAAACTTTTTTTTTATTCGTAATCGTTTGTATATTTCTTTATCAGTGTTGAAAATTTCGATGGAACTTGAAGATTCAAAGGAGGTCAGAAGGAAGAAATAATATAAAGACAAAAATAGCAGTTGTATGTTCAATGATTTTTTTTAATTAATGATGTTTTAAGTCAACAGATATTTAAATATGGATTTGGTATAATAATAAGGCTAAACATAAAGTGAAGAAGAAAAAGTATTGGTAAACAAAGAAACAGAAAATAAATAGCAAATACAAAGCAGAGTAACTCATTATTAGATACGAAAAATTAAGTAACAGAATTTGTACTACATTCTAAATCCTTCCTACCCTTATATTCTAATTTTAGTTAAAAATTATTAACGACTTTCAATCGGTATAATTTTTTTTCGGCAGGAAATAAATACAGATACAGAAGAATCGCGCACTGTGAGAAGAAAATAATCATTGTTACTAAAATTATACTTATTTTTGGTTTCATATTAATTATTCATATTAATTTTGACTATATATTAATTATATGATTATAATAATAATTTAGATTATAATTATCAATATTTCATATTTCTCTCTCTCTCTCTCTCTCTCTCTCTTTCTCTCTCTCTCTCTCTCTCTCTCTCTCTCAGTATATAATAATATTATTCATGAAACTATAATTACTCGTCGTCTGATGAGCTCTAAAAAGTCTAAATTTCGACTCGGAATATCTCTATTCTCGATAAACGCGTCAAATGTTCGTTAAGATTGAAAATACCACGCATAACGAATAATCTCCTATTCAATATGCGTTCTTCGCGATATTACAACAATTATACTTTATTACTTTCCGTCACTATTCGCCTCCTTCTCCTCTTCTCCTGCTCACACATCCTTTATTCTCCCCGAACATCCCTTAGCGACATTCTTCAATTAATCGGCAGTCAATCTGTTCATGTCCTGTTCCGGCCCTCATATTGCATCAATTTGCGATTACATCTGGAAACGCGCATCTACACACGCACAAATACATGACGTGTATCGCCGCATCGCCGCGTCTTGCATCCTGGCTTCCTAATCCGGCATCCTGCTCCCTGCTGTTCCATCGTGGCGCTCCGGATATTCGCTCGCAGCACTGACACTGGAACTGACACTCGCGTAGGCAGCGTGTCGGAGGCGGCATCAACCGATTAAGATCTCGGCTGACTAAAATATTATCGGCAAATCGGCAATCAAAATTAATCGATCGTCGCGTGAATGCAACTATGAATAATTTCGTCGATCGGCGAAAATCAATTATTCATCATCGCGGTATAATCAATCAGATCGGAGTAATCGACCGATTTACGCACTATTGTGCGCAGTCGCGATTCGCTCGACGTTGATTTTGATTGCTTTAGTCCACTTAAATCTCTTTTTAGCCGGTCAACGCTCCATACACGCTCAGCGCCGTTGCGAAGAGATTCGATCGGCGCGAGGAACGCGCGCGCGTTAATTAACCCCCCTCCCTCCGCGCGCGGTTAGTGTTTAACCGGCGGGCTCATCGCGTCGGTCGCGCGAGGTTTATTTGGTCTGACGTTCGGAAGGAGCGAAAATATGTACGCACTGCGCTCCTCGATTTTACAGCCGCTTCGCACAATCTTTTTTGAATAACGGCTTTGCGTACGTTGCGTTGCGTACGAAACAATGAGATTAAGCGAGGCTCACGGTCGACCATGTGTGCGTTTCGCTCGGTAGAGCGCAGAGCGTTCGAGAGACGTCGTTACGACGCGAGGGGCTTCTCGCAACGCGACGCCGCTCCTGTCAAACATTTCAACAGGCCGCGAAATATTTTTACCACTCGACGGAAAAATTGCGATCGACGCGCTAACGCATCTGCCTGGTCGATCAAGATCTTAGTTGGCTAGAATCACCGACCGCGAATATCAACGATCAAAATTGACCACCGGTCGTTGTACGCGCGATTGTAAACAACCGGATCGGCCGGCGAAACGAATGATCGACCAGCGCATAATCGGCCAGATGGAAGTAATCCGCCGAAGCGATCGTTAGATTCGCATACGCAACAACAGTGAGAACTCGATGTTCGAAAACGCGCTCTTGAGGTCACACTCGGCTGTGGAAAGATACGCGTTGTAATGGCTAGCAAAACAATCGGTATGAAAGTCGCGACACTAACACTGCCGCCTTCTTGCCGCCTTCTAGGCGGCCATCGGTCCTGCCTTGCGTCGCGGGCGGGCTTCCCCGTGTGTTTCCATTACGCCTCACGACGCTTCGCGCGACGCGCGTGTATCGCACCGATGTGCGTCAGTCGCACTGTCGGCTTGGAAAATATTTCACCCGGGCTCCCGTTGCCGCTGTGTTAATTAGCACGCGCCGAGTCGCGCGTCTTCGCGCGAGTGTCAGTGTCAGCGTCAGTGTCAGCGTCAGCGTCGGTGCCGCCACGCAGCGGACGGAGCAGCCGAGAGCCCCAGGACGCAGGATCCGGAGGCCAGGACATCGAGACGCCCGCGCCGGTCAGCGCTGCATTTCCGTGTGAAATCGTCGATTGGCCGGCGAGCGACCGGCGTCTTAATTGGGATGCGGAAGATACAGCCGAGTCGAAATTTAGGCTGGCGTTCGTACTTCGTTATCGCTCGGTAATTCAGGTAATAACAGTTCCACGAGTGTTTGATTACCCGTTAACCCGTACCTGCGGCGGTTAGGTTAACGCAATTGATCTGTGTCATTGTCGCAACATACAACGTCCGTTGGGCAACGGTAGTTCGGCGGAATTTTTCGATCGTACGTGTTGCATGCTAGGGTTGCATTCGCGCGTCGTCATTGTTGGTTATTTAGGAAGCGACGACGGTGACTCACGCGTGTTATTTTCTCCTTTGTACGTGACTTTTATGCGCTCAAACGTTACAAACGCCGAGTCTCTGATAATGTCTGAGATATCGTTGCTGTTTCACAGCAACAGCAATCAACAGTCGGGATGCGTAAATGCGTAGGCACAATGCGTACGATCGAAAGAGTCCGCTGGCTTTGCGTCCACTAAACGTCGAGGCTACTTGTTGGTCCGTGTTTTTTTCATACAACCCGCATTTCTTTCATACAACAAAAAATATTGATCGAGACTACCTGATAATGGTATAATAATTTCTGGCTGCGAACAGCGGCTTTAGAATCTGATATGAATCTTGCAAGTGTTGACTTTTACGTCCAATAATATTCTTTGAGTCTTTGGGTCGCAATTACAATTTTGCCGATGCTTTCGTCTCATTTCTGTTTAACTTTATTGTACGGAGTCCAAATTTAAATACCTCTTGGTGAACACATAACACTATTGGACATAATTGTTACATCTGTCTTGTTTTACAGCTTCTCGATCAGCTCTTTTAAGAGCTCTTCAATTCTCATCTTTCACAAAAAAGAAAAGAAGGGAAAAAAAAAGAGAAGAAAAAGAGAGAGATTAGATGAGAGGAAAGATGAGAATAAAATGCGTTATTTCTTTTATCCTTTTACCCACTGATTTTTCCTTGAATATTTAATATTTGCTCCTCTTACATACGATATTTGCAACTAAGTTATAAAATTAAGTTATACAAGCGAGCAACATAATTGCATAATTAGTACTGAAGTCGAGAATAAAGATTACCGATGTCGGTAGAAATATTGAGATAACTGAATATTAGATAACATTTCGAAATAAGTCCCCCGGCAAGATTCGACATGGCGTACAGCATGGAGGAAACGGCAGTAAATTACATCTGCACAGCATCAAGATAGCGCCATTAGCTTGTACAGCACTTTATCTCGAAATTCTCCGTTAATCCCTCAAGTTCGATGGAATTTGCCGGATTAATGCAGAGCTAAAATTTCGACTCGGTATCACAGTTGCTGTCCGGCTGCGATAAGAGTGATAAGAGATTATCGGACGCAGTTGCGGCGCATTAAGTCAGCGGTTGTTGCATGTACGTCGACGCAAAAATGCAACGTATTTATTAGGTGCGCAATTAAGTTTCCGGGTTTCACACATGGACGGCGCTAACGACACATATAGTCGACATACATGTCTGAAGTTGTGTTTTTTTTATAACTTGGACATCTGTTAACAATAACCAGTCGTAATACCAACGCATATCGCAACGCAAAAATATATTTTCTAACAACGAAGATGTCGAGTTTTGTGGCAGATAAACAGCATTTGCGGGAAGCTTTGCTTTTCTGCTTTAACTTGAAAAAAAGTGCAGCTGAAGCACGTCGTTTGCTTGAGGAGGCTTACGGCGAACATGCACCATCGAAAACTACCTGTGAAGATTGATTTAAACGCTTCAGAAATGGCGATTTCGACACTGAGGACAAGGAGCGCTCCGGAAGACCAGAAACAAGCCGGAGGACGCCGATCTGCAAGCGATTATTGGATGAAGATGATACGCAAACACAAGATCAACTTGCGGAGCGGCATTAAACATGACTCGCCAAGGTATTTCCAAACGTTTACATGCCATGGGAAAAATGCAAAAGGAAGGGAAATGGGTGCCGCATGAGTTGACTGAGAGACAGATGGAAAATCGAAGAGCCACTTCCGAAATTTTGCTTCTGCGGCATGAAAGAAAGAGTTTCCTGCATCGAATTGTTACTGGCGATGAGAAGTGGATATATTTCCCGAAAATCCTAAACGCAAAAAATCGTGGCTTTCACCTGGCCAAGCATCAACATCGACGGCACGGCCAAATCGCTTCGGAAAGAAGACAATGCTCTGCGTTTGGTGTGACCAGAAAGGAATCGTGTACTATGAGCTGCTGAAAAGAAGCCGGGCGAAACTGTCAATGGGCACCGCTACCGACAGCAACTGATCAATTTGAACCATGCATTGCTCGAAAAACGGCCAGAATGGGACACGTGCCATCGCACTTCCATCGTTCAGGACACCATCAAAACGCTGAAATGGGATCTGCTACCGCATCCGCCGTATTCGCCAGATCTGGCCCCTTCCGATTATCACTTGTTCCGATCAATGGCGCATGGCTTGGCTGGGCAACACTTGGCCAATTTCGAACAAGTGCAAAATTGGTTGGACGAATGGTTTCGGTCCAAAGACGCGTCGTTTTATCATCGCGGTATTCATGTATTGCCAGAGAAATGGCAAAATGTGTAGCTAGCGAGGGACTTTGAATAAACCATTTTTTGTATTTCTCTTGAAATTTGCCATTTTTCAAAAAATTCCATTGATCAAAAAAACCCGGAAACTTAGTTACGCACCTAGTATTCCATTTTTACTCCCTCTGTACGAATTACACGTTGAACGATCGCCCGTCGTTAGAAGGACGAGGATACGTTGAGTCGATGGGCTGGGGACGGGAGCATGGGCCGAGGGGCGAAGGGAGGGGTCTATATAAGTAAGAGCGAACATTGAAGAAACATCGAGATCGGATCGTTCGCGGCACGAGCGGCGATTCTTCGCGGTAGGAATCATTCGACGATGGAAAACGCGCGCGGCCATGTCGAAGGCGTAGCGATGCGTGATTCAATCTCGAACAGGGGGCGATATTCGAGAGCACCGTACCGTCGCTTGAGAAGAAAAGGAACTCCTCTCTTCTCCCTTTCTCTCTCTCTCTCTCTCGCGCGCGCGTGCGCGCGCGCGAAGATGCGGAAAGAAAGAGAGCGCGGAGAAGAAACGTCTGGCTTTGGAAAAGGGGAAGTTGCACTTTTAGCGACGCTTAACCATACGTTACGGGCACGAAAACGTTTTGCGCGATTCTAACACACACACACACACACACACACACAGAAGCAGATCGCTTATCGATTGCCGCTATTCTCGCTGTCCCGTTGTACCGCTCGCGCGAGATCTGGATCCTGCGCGTGGAAGAAGGAAGAAAAGGATCCGCGGGAGGGGACGGGGGCGGCTAGGAGAGCGGGGAGGGAGTTCCGTGCGAAATCGAGCTCGAAGTTGGGAATATTGTGATCCGATCAACCGTGAAACAGAAGGATCTTGATATTGTAGCGGCGGGAAGCGTTTTTCTTTAACGCGAATATTACTTCTCGTGGGGCCGATATTGTTCGTTAATCCCTCCATTTTTTCTCTTTTCCTTTCTCGTTTCTTTTCCTCTTCGTCTCCTTTGTTCTCGTACGGAAATCGATTTTGACTCGGGCGACGGATTTGCCGGCGAGTCCGGAGTCAATTTTGCCCGAGCAGAGATGTGTGTTCCCGAGCGGGGACGTCGATAGTCTTAGAATTACAAACGATTCGGGGAGAAGGGATTTTCGCGGAGTAACTCCCGGGAAAGCGAGCAATCGCGAGACTGCACTTTCCGGCTGAAATTTGCTTTACACGAGAAACAATGTTATCCGGAATTTAATTTCAAAGCTGTACAAAATGTCTCCTAATTGGCGTTCATTAATTACACAGTGCGAACCCGTGTTCAAAGTCCTCCGGTCATTCCTCCGGCGGAAAATTATTAAATTATATTAAGACCGTCGTTGTTACATTCTGATTGCTATTATGGTTGTATTCTGTCACTTGAAAGACTGTTCCGATTGGCTGCGCTTTTTACTCAACAATCCCTGCTCGAACATTAAACACCGTGGAAAAAATGGCCCGAGACGTCGAATTCGTCTTCGGACTCGAATTCTCATAAGAAGCGGCGCCGCGTGATTAACGAGCGTCGATTAAGCAACATCCCGTATAATCTCTCGAGAATTGAGAATCCGACCTCGTCGGCGGGAGAAATCGGTCGCGGGAGATTCGTCCTGGGAGAGAGCTCCTATCCGTCGAAATAACGATCGCGAGCTGACGCGCGATTTCGTCTCGTCTCGCGAGTGTTCGTCTGTTCGTTTGTTCGTTCGTTCGTTCGTTCGTTCGACGCCAGCTAATTAACCGCGGAACGGCGGCTTCGGATTGATTCGACGCGAATTAAATTCGCTCGCGCTAGCCTCCTCCTTTTCGTCATGGGGGTGGGTGTGCGGGGAGTGGCGGGGTGCATCAACAGATGCATCGTCGTGCGGCTTGCGCGCGCGTCTTACCTCTTTGTTGTCCCAGCGCTTATACCGCCGCCACTCGGTGAAGCCGGGACGTCGATATTCCAGGGTGTAATCCTCGACATACTCCTGGCCGCGGCCGTGATCGTAACGACCCTGCGTCTGCACACCGGTGACGACGTGGGCGCCTGGCAGGTCGACCTGGAGCCACTCGCGGACCCCTTTCTCTATTTGGCTCTTCGGACACCAGGCACCCCCGGCGGTCTCCTTCCGGAGTCTACGGAGAACACGTTATTAGCACGGCTCACAGAGGACCTGTGTGAATTTAGCCTTTCCCCCCCTCCCCTGCCCTTTTTGGAAATTTGAAAAGAATCCTTCGCGCCCTCTTCACTTTCTGGCGCCTGAACAAGTTGAAAAGCTATTTGAGAAAACGCGGCCAATTTCACGAAGCTCCTCATTTGTCTTGTGTCTGTTGTGCCACAAGTGGGTAGGGTCTCGTTAACCCCCGATAGGAGGTTTAGAGCAAAAAGAGTTTTGCTTCTGAAAGAATAATGTAACGGAAAGTGATGTCTCTTTCGAATTTGGAACATGACCCCGCGTTTGTTTCTCTCATCAGCGTGATTTTATTTTGTGTTATTTGACTTGAAAATATAGATACATGTGGTGTGTAACTTCTTCTTCAAAGTTACATGTTGTAATAATGGATTAATTAATACTACGCGCGCGCAAGGAGAGAGAGAGAGAGAGAGAGAGAGAGAGGGAGACTAGAATTCCCACTTCTCTCTAAAGTTTACCGTCGCGGCGGCGCGCTTTACGATTTAATCACATCGCGGTGAATTAAATACACCGCCACGCGAGTTTCATTTATTAGAAATCCGAATCAATTAGTAATCTAAACGAAGAAGGATTATGAATTATTCGCAAACGCCGATCGGAGACGCTCGCGATTGAAATTTGCAGCTTTGCGAGTCGTCGTGCACAACTTACGGGCCGGAAAGATGCTAAAAGTGCGCGCGCGCGCGACAGGAAAAGAAATTATCGAACGTTTTGTGATGGCAGTTTGTGGGGCGGAGGAATTGTGTGCGGCTGAGGAGATCCTCAGACTTTTAATTTCGAAAATGCCACGGAATTATCGTTTTACCGTCTCGCCGGCCGTAAAAAGCTCGCCCGCGCAATTATACCGTGCTGTGCCGTTACTATCGTGCTTACTTCCTGATAATAACCTTGCGTAGTGTCGGTTACTCATGCGAATGTTGCAACGTAAATTATAGTTTTATAGTATTTGTTACTGCATGACCGTTTCGCGTTGCTTCGTGACGGCCGTACGATAAGCCTGAACGAAAACGTTTCACGGCTACGACGATCATAACGCAATGCAGAATTTAGCGTAATTTGCAAAAGTGCACGGGAGACAGGCTATCAAACGGTCCAAGATAATCGTTGCCGGGCGAGAGATGGCGCGCGCGCGCGCGCGCGGCAGGAGAGAACTACAGACTTTTCATTTCGGAAGTGTCACGTAATTATCGTTTTACCGTCTCGCCGGCCGTAAAAAGTCCACCCGAGAGATTATAGCGCGCGCAATTCCGATATTGCCGTGCTTACCTTCCGATAACAATTTTGCATAGTGCTAATTATTCATGCGAATCTTGCACCGTGCAAATGACAGTCTCATAGTATTTTTTACTCTGCACGCAAACATTTCATTTCATTATGCGACAATCATAAGACGGGCTTGAGCGAATACACGTTTCGACCGCATGACGACCGCACCGCAATATCAAATTTTCTACAGTCTACACGAATAGGAAAGGTAAATTATTGAGTGGTCTACATTTTGTAGAGGAGAGTCTTCATCTCGGAAATATCGCGTAATTATATCGCTTTACCGTCTCGCCGGTTGTAAAAAGTCCACCCGCGAAATTGTAGCGTGCAATTCCGATACCATGCTTACTTTCTCATAATAACCCCCTGTATAATGCAGCTACCCCAACTATATAAATTACAGTTTCATAGTATTTTTTACTACACGAGAATTTTATTTCAAGTATATATTAACTGCACGAACACATCCGTCCGTCTCTCTCTCTCTCCCTCTCTCTCTCTCTCTCTCTCTTTCTATATTTATATGTCTATTTTATACATCCCTATATTTATATGTCGCGAGTATGTGACAGTCGAGTTTGTCGTAACTCGCAGGTCGTAAAAAGCAGGGGAGAAAGATTATCGTACGACGCACGTTCTGCAGAGGGGAGGGGGGAACCGCGCGCTCGCGGTATATAAGACAGGAGCGCAGACTTTTAATTTGGAAAATGCCGCGGAATTATCGCTTTACCGTTTTGCCGGGGCGTAAAAAGTCCGGCCGCGCAATTACATCGCGCGCAGTTCCGTTACTATCGTACTCTCCGAACTGCGAAGAACAATTCGCAAGACCATTTCTGGGTTTTAAGAACTTTCATGTTCCGTAAAGTGTACTTAAACAGTGAATCCGTGATTCACTCACGCTTCCACCCTCCCTCTCCCTCTCTGTCTTTTCCAGCTCCAGCTCCTCTCTCTCTCTCTCTCTCTCTCTCTCTCTCTCTCTCTCTCTCTCTCTCTCTCTCTCTCTCTCTCTCTCTCTCTCTCTCTCTCTCTCTCTCTCTCTCTCCTCGCCGTCCTTCGCGCCGCCGCCGCCGCCGCTGCGGGCCTGCGCTCTCACGCTTTTCCCTCATCGCGTCGATTATTTACGTTTGTGTTAAATGGCGCTAATAAAAGTCCGCGCTGCCTCGACCACTTCTGATCGAGTGGCGGCGCCTCGTACTTAATAACAAAGTTAACTTCGCCGTAGATCGAGAAGATTTCCCCTCGTTCCGGGCCACCTCTCACCGACGATTGATTTCCGGATAGCGTTTGCGCGCCGGGCCGCGTCGACTCTCCACTTCCCGCGTATAACTCGGTCCTTATCGCGAAAGAACTTTATCGTCGCGCGAGACGTGTCAACGACGGCCGGTGCGGCGCGGCGGCCAGGAGCCTCGCATTATTAAGCGAATCGCGGAGACACGGCACCGGTACGGTCGCGGGGCGTACGCCGCGCGAAAACTCGCTACGTGTGGAGACTGGAGAGTGTCAATCGCGCGCCGCTCTCGCTGTTAATATACTGCAAGGCGGCGAATCGACCGACCGATCGGGAAAAACCGAAAGAGAGGAAGCAGCTCTCTTCTCCTTCGAGTTCTCTTTCCCGCTCGCATAGGTACGGAGCTATCTTTCGTCTCGTTAAAGATTATACAGCGTGATTCCGCGGGCTACAGAACTTGGGTACCGAACAATGAAAGAACAATGTCCCGCGGCGGTGGTGGCTGTACTTTTACCATCGGATCTTTTTATATTCTTCAACGGCTATGTACCGGCGAGTGTGCATGAAACACCGCATCAGACGCTCGTCTCCTTCGCCGGGCTCTCTTTATCCGCTTCCGTTACATATTACGCTCACACGAGCGCGCGCGAGAGTTTCCTTCGGACCGACCATTTGACGTATTCGAGGCTTCGGGCGGTCCTCATTTATCAGGCGCGTCTGACGTCTGATCAATGAGCGCCTTTACCACTGCTTTAATTATCCGCCCTTGGAACGTAATAATCCGCCGCGCCGCGGCCGGCACGGCGATCCGTCTCGCGCGATTTGCGGATCGCGTACATTTCGCATTTCGCATTTAGTTAGTACGCTGCTCTCTTTTTTCGAAAACGCTCCGCTCGCGGAATACCTGAACGGAAAGCGCGTTTCTCGGAATATTCTTTGAGACCAAATTCAGGTCGTTAGGTAAGATTTCCCGAAAAATCTGCCTGCATCGGAAAATGCGCGCAGATTCAGATTGGGAGCGTTTAAATGCTTAATCTCCTTTAAGACGAATTCGTTAGAATCAGGGAAAAATGGATTTCATGTTAGGATGATGTAAATGCGACATCTGTCGATGGTATACAGCGAGATTTTTCTTCGTTTAAATGGAATTTTGTGTGGTGTAAATGTTTGCTCGCAGTACTATTTGTTATATCCTTGTCGATGCTCCGTTTCAATCAACAAAGAAAAACTGAACATATCTAGACGCACACATACGTGTCAATAATTCTGGGAAGGTTGCTGCCTCGATTCAGTTCTTTAATTTTTCCTTTTTCTAATTTGTAAATTTTGTCATTTGTTTTATATAATTCGATAGTCGATATTAGAACGAGACGCTCTGTTTGACGCCGTAAAAGAATTTTACCCACTGAGAGGAAAGAAATCGCGGGTATTTCCACGGTGTTTCTGCTTCAATCCATATTTGCGCGGGATGAGAATTACATGTCCAATCGCCATCGTAATGGGGCAACTTCGGAACAAATTTGGACAGACAGATCGGGGTATACGGAGTATCTAAGAAAATCTCGAGAAATTTCTACGCGAGTTCTCGCGCTTCTCGCTCTCGACTCGCTCCCGATCGCGCAGCGTTTGTTCCGTATATGCGTGTGTCAAACGGAAAGTTTAATTTTTCGCAATTTCCCCGTCCCGTTCGCTGCCGGACGTCGCTTAAATAAATCGATCAAACGAGCGAAAACAAGCTGCGTTACACACGTTATATATTCGACGACGCGTTGTGTTTCGTTATCTCTCTCCCTCCCCCCCCCTCTCTCTCTCTCTCTCTCTTTTATTCTTTCCTCTGTCCCTCTCCCTCTAGATATCCCTCTCTCTTTTTCTTTTGGACCGCGAAGTATATATAACGGCCGAATTAAATCGTAGTAAAGCGCGATCGTTCTCGCCGGCGGAGCGGAGATTACAGTTCACTTAAAAATGCCACACCGTCTTCCTCTCGGTCTGTGTTCCTCTATATAAAACGTGATTGCCGCTTCTCAGGCCGAGAGAGAGAGAGAGAGAGAGAGAGAGAGAGAGAGAGAGAGAGAGAGAGAGAGAGAGAGAGAGAGAGAAGCGCGATTGCGCTTGACAGTCACAGGCGCGCCCGGCATGTAACTCGAAGGAAATTAGGTTTGAATAAGTTAAATTCCCGGCTCGAGAGCGTCGTCGAATCAATATCGCTGTCGCGCTGTGTTGGAAAAAGCAAACTCCCGCGGATACATAGTCCCGGGCTGAATGAATGGCATCGTTGAGTTATAAACAAAACTCTTTTTTCTCTGTCTCTCCTCCTCCTCTCTCTCTCTCTCCCTCTCTTGCACGCGCGCGCGCGCGCACGTGGGCGGGGAACGTGAAATATAGGTGAAATCGATTCGCGAAGAAGAGCGAAAAATAATGCGTGACACTCGCTCGCGCGATCCCGCCGCGCTGAAACTCGCTGAAACCGGGTTCGGTGGACGTTGTTGGACGTGTCCCACTCGCGTTGCATTAAAACGGTTAGTGGTCACGTATATCTGGTTTCCTCTCCCCCTTTCTCACTCTCTCTCTCTCTCTCTCTCTCTCTCTATCTCTCTCTCTCTCCTCTCTCTCTCTCTCTCTCTCTCTCTCTCTCTCTCTCTCTCTCAACGTCGTGGAAAAGGGACGCGTCGTAAAAGTAATGCACTCACCGGCCATTTCGCGGTCCGACGTTCGTCACATACGACGAGGACGCAGTGATAGCTGAATCCGGTATGTCACCCGACTCCATCCCCAAGGACTGGTTGCATGATCCTGAAACACGAGCGTGTTGAAGCTCAGTGAATGCGCCGCAGATGTCGGCGCGGATCGCTCTCATTATTGTTGGGGGGCTTTATATCTGTTTTCTTTTTCCTTTTTCCTCTGGCGGGTCTGACCGCTTGGAATATTAGCCGGCAACTAATTGGTAGTTATAATTCAGGCAGTTACAATTCGTCCCTGAAAATTACGGATTCCGACTGGCGAGTCCGCGAAAATTCGAATCTCAAAGTCGCGGTTCTCCGAATGGGAAATCCGAGTGGATGCAATTTGCCCTTCGCGACGCGTTTCTTCAGAAAGATCTGTTCGCGTTTTCGGACTTATTCTGAAAACTTTATAAGACACGGAAAGCTAAGTGCAAAAATCTTCTTTTTGTAAGACGAAGAAGAGAGACGGGAAGGATTGCGCTAACATTTGCAGGAATTTTCGCCGGAAAGAACGTTTGCCTAGCCTCGTCGCTTCAATCAAACGAAATCCGGAATAGTTTGCACCGATCGACGATTTCGGAATTTTGCGTTTATTGCATAAAAAACGATCGCGTAACAATCCATTTCCAAATTAACCCTCTTGCGGTTCTATTGACTGGCAGAAATTAGTATCAAAATGGTTAAATTCTTTTTGCGAACGAAAATATTTACTTTCATGTTTTATAATAGTTTTCGAACATGCTGATTTCAAATTTGAAGTTGTTGCAAAATTCAAAATGGCGGATCAAAAATAGCGGACCTGAAAATAGTAAATCTTGGGTCTAAGCATAAGCCGGTTGATTTGATACAAACTCATATTTTCCCATAGTTTTCACTCACAAAGAAACCAATCACTTTTTTATCATCAGTCTTGATGACCGATAATTGTTGTCGATGTAATAAATTAAGGAATATCGCGATGGACATACGGAGCTTGAATTTTTTATTTTATCGAGTTCAATAATTGGCAGACAAACGGGATAAGGTTCTCTGCTCGATTCTATAAAAGTTTATTGATTTATCCTACTGAAAAAAAGACGGGGATTTCTCTCTGATTGTAGAGACAGGCCATCGTCGGGCTTGCGATAGGGGTAGAATTTCCAATCGGTATCGCAGCGCGATAACCTATTTCGAGACAAATTTCGGGATTCCGTTCGGAATCTGTGCCGTAAGTGAGGAGATCTTGGGAAATTTTTATAGCGAACTTTGATTTGCGGCAAAGCATACGTAACTATTGCGCAGTCCGCCCGTTCTTGCTGAATAAACAAAAAGTATTATAACAATATTATTTATATTATACTGATAGAAAAATATAGTTGAATTAACTATAATCTCACTATATTTTATAGTTCATTTTGGCGTCAACCATATTTTTATAGTTCGTGGAATCTGCAAAATATAGTCGAACAAAACACAAATATATAGTCAATGATTGTCTTAAATAATTTTGTTTAGTTACTTCTACCACATATCTGGTAATTTCTCATTCACAAATATAGTGAGATTTAATATTCGTATAGTTACATCTGTCATCATTTAGCAAATATTCTGGTAATATTGACTATACATATAAAAGAGTTACTTTACCTACCATTTTATATTTGTATCCAATAATTTTAGTTCAACTTACTATAATTCTAAGTAAAAATATTATATAATTGGTTATACTATACCTATACCGTAATTATTACCGATATTATGGTAATACTTACTATAAATATGATATTTCGGACTATAATTTACTTACTATATCATTATAGTTCCAAATATCATATACTTTTCTCTCAGTGTACCGCTCTCAGACATTTAATCGTGAATAATTTAATTAGGCCAAGAAAAGCCGCGCAAAGGTGACGAATAATTTTCTTGCACGCGAGTATAATAGAAAAAGATTATTTTTTATTAATCTCTGTCACATCGTGCGCGGGTCTCATTCGCTCAATTTAACTCTTACACAACCGACTCTGATTCGCGACGAAGCGTACGTAATTGATCGCGTACGCGACAAAAATTCCCAACGATTCCCACTTGCTTCTGCTGAATAAACAAAAAATATCTAGCGACTTCGATCAGAGACGATCAGTCGCGACAAATCAGATTTTTCGTGTATTATTCATTTTCACGGATAACTTGCGCTAGCGACTCCGATTCACGGCGAAGCGTGCGCAAGCAGTGCGCGCGAAACCGCGACAAAGAGCGTCGTCGAGAGATCCCCAACAATTCCTGCTTGTCTCTGCTGAATAAGCAAAAAATATTCAGCGGCTTTGGAAGGGTCGATCGATCTCGAGAAATCAGATTTCTCGTCTATTACCTATTTCCGGTTTCGATAATTGGCTCGTAGCGGCTCCTTCGGGCTGTCTCCGCGACCGGACGGTTCGATAATTATTGCTCGTGATTACTCGGAATAAATTTAAGTATTCATCAGAGGAGACGAGCTCTCTCCACTCCAAATGCAACGTTCCGTATTGTGAATACAGGCCTTTCGAGGCTACCATCGCGAGCGTTAGCGATGCTCCTTGTCCGATGCCCCGTCGCGCGAGGCTTTTCAAACGGAGTCGATTGAAAGAGACAATAGTGCGTGGTATCGAGTGCACTGTCGAGTTCATGGTACAGACAGAGAGAGAGAGAGAGAGAGAGAGAGAGAGAGAAAGAAACAGCACTCTTTAAAGTTCGAGTGTGTTCGCGGGAATCACAAACGTAAACAGCAATTACGACGACGTCGTCGTCGTCGTTATCGTTATCGTCGTCGTCGTCGTCGTCGTCGTCATCATCATCCTCGTTGTCGTCGACGTCGTCACCGTCGCCGCAATCGTTGTTCGCGAAGTTGGGATAAGTGGCAAATGGCTGGAAGCCTCGAGGCGCATCGCCGCCGGGATATTATCCAATCGCTATACTTATTAGTCTTTCAGCGATCTCATTCACGTTTCAATTTGCGTTACGTTTACTGTCATTCGGTTGTAATCTTTCCATTAAAGTTTTCGTCGCGCAACAAAAAGCTGCGCGCCAACGGGACTCCCTCTCTCCGTCCTTCCGTCTGTCCGTCGCGGTCGTGTTCGTCCACGGCGGCGCTCGTTCTCATCCGTCGCATCGCGGAAAATTCATACCGCTGCGTGCGGTGGATCAATCGCCCTGAATAAATTTATTCTGCGAGATCGAGCGCCGCGATCTCTCTCTCTCTCTCTCTCTCTCTCTCTCTCGCGTTTTTATTTACAATTACAGAGAGACTGGGGAGCGCGCGCGCCGACATTCATCTCGCTGTGCTGGTTAGATTCTCGGTCGGTTTGCGTTGCATTTTTATTTTCGCTCGACGAGCGACGAAAGAATACGACGTCGATTCCGATAATTATATTTCGCGATTTCGATGATTGCTTATTTCGAGGCACTTTTGTCCTTTCTTTCTTTTTCCCCCCTTTTCTGAAGAAATGAGAACGTGAGACGCGAAAAATCGCGCGAATGGCGAGAGAGCGCGATTCAGCTTCTTGTTTCTCAGTTGAGAATGGTGTTGCGCTTTATGACGCCTCGTATAAGACGCGCCAAGGTAGACGCGATTATCCCAGACTGAAGTAAGTTAAAGCAAAAGCAAATGAGAATTCCGAACTGGGTTAAAATTAAATTAGAAAGAAGCTCTCGCTCCTGAACGATTTGTGGAACCGACTTTGCTAATTAAATAATCCCGCTGACTGACGCAGGAATATTCTATGAACGCGTTTCTTCGCGCGCACGGCGCCGCGCTTTCGCTTGACCCGTGAGACGCGCGACGACGATCGACCCCATTCTCCTCATGCAACGCGTCGTGTAAATTATTACTGATTAACAGTGACATCGAATTAACTGCGTCGAGGTATCTTCAGTCTCGCCCTCGTTCACTTTCATCGACATTCGAGAATCTCTGATTGCGCGAGTTATCGCGCGAGTCTCTCAGGCTTAACGATAATTCGAGAGAGTATTCAAATAAAATTCAAATAAAACATTGAAACGGTACGGTGTAAAACCGGGAGATCTCGTCGCAAATTGGAACATTCACCTTATCAGTCGTCAATATATTTTTCAATAACCGCCCGATTTCACCCGTGTCGGACGACTCGTCTTCCGAGCCGACGGAATCACCCTGACGATCTGACGAGCATCCGCGAGCCTCCGATACGTAGATAATGCAAATCGAATTCACACAAATTTTAAACGCCTCCGCGACACGTGCATACACATTTGTCAGCGTGTTCTTACGCGTCTACGTGTGCACAAAGCGAGCACAGCGTAACAGTCGCTTGATTTATCGTCGGAAGTATGACAACGGAATCTACGCGGAATAGCGAACGGAGCCTCCACGTTGGAGGGGTTGGGGACGACGCGTCCTCCTTCCGTTTCTCAAATCAGCGAGCAGGAAGAATCGTTCGCGTACCTGGATTCTCTGATCTTATTGGTCTCTCCCCCCCCCCCCCCCCTCTCTCTCTCTCTCTCTCTCTCTCTCTCTCTCTCTCTCTCTCTCTCTCTCTGTTCCTGTCTCTCTTTCGCCGCCGTCGAGAGCGACGTACAATCGAACGTGAGCACATGTGTATGGTCGATTAAATCTTTTCGTATGCCCGTCAGCTCCGCGGTTTATGTTGGCTCGCTTAACCCTTTTTAGAGTAGCCGTGAGAGAGGTGAACGATCGGTCCGAAGTCGAGGAGAGGAGGACGGAGGAATTTCTTCTCGCGTCTCGGCTGTCGGCTCTCGCGAGGCGGCGGAGGAAGTCAGGCAATAAACATTGTGTCGCTATTGCCGCGCGACTCGCTCCCTCGAAAGTAGCGTTAAGAGGACGGCGAGGAGGCGGGCGGCGATGGCGCGCGGTGCTTCTATCAAAATCTACTAGACGTCGTTACAACGAAATCCACTAAAAACTTCATAGATCTCCCGGGCGGACGAGCGGCTCGGGCGAGCGCGCGCGCCGCTCGAAAATTCGCAGGAGAAAGCTTTGCGGTGTTAGCAAAGCGAGGAATATCGTCGAGCGTGACAAAAGGTCGCCGTGAAAAACGTTTTCACGAGGGTTTAACT